TAGAATAAGTAAATCGATCATACCGGTCATACCGGTGGTGTCATGCCGGTTTCATGACCGGCACAGGTTGAACCAGGTTCAACTGGGTGGCATGCCACCGGCATGACAACCATGCTACCAAGGAAATTGTAAGAGGATAAGGTTTGAAATTTTTTTTCATAAAAGGATAATTTATACTATTAATCCTTAATGGTTTAGAAAATCACGCCCATTACCATCATGCTTTGGGTGGGCAATGGGAGGGTTGGGTAGATTTTGGTCTAAAATTGACCCACACGCTTACTAGCGGGTTGGAATATATGTGACCCGCAATCCACCTACATACTTATGCGGGTTGGGCTCGGTGGGTGGCGGATGGGTGCAGTTGGGTCGCGTGTTATCTCGCAAAAGCAATTCTCCAACCAGACATGCATTAAGAAAATTGACTAACATTTATAATAAGTTCGTAGCAAATTAGTAAGATTGTATCAATAATTTGTGATTTTGATACAACTAATAATTTATAGTTTTTATCCCAATATTTAATGGATATTTACAATAATTTGCATACCAATATCAAATGGATATTGCTATATATTGCACAACACAATTATTATCTTATATATAAAAGCTAGCTACACTTTTTCTCTAAAGTTACTATTTCAATTTTTGTCTTTTAGTGAAGATGAAAAAACTTGTCATCTTACCCCATCCCTCACACACTCAAATATATTTAAAAAAATCTTTATCATTTGGTCAAAGATATTGTATGTATAACAAAGGGAAAGATTGCTTTGTTTAGCCGAATCAAACCGAAAATAAAACCGAGTAAAATAATTTTCTTGAAAATGAATCGTTAAGAGGTTTAAACGATTCAATTTGATTTCAAGAAAATGAAACCCGAGGCTTAAGCGATTCAATTTGATTTCAAGAAAATGAAACCCAAGGCTTAATTGAATATTGAGTGTTTGTGTATTGGTTGTGATTTTATTTTTATTGTTTTTAGCTTTTTCAGTTTTGACCAAACAAAAAACGCTAAGCACAAAAGGTTTGGGACCGAAACCAAAAAACAATAAGATCACCTTATCTGTTCGTTTAGTTGAAATTCAAGAAATTGAATCCGAACTGATAGTCCTATGTATGGCACACTTTGCCATCTTTCATTTTGGTCTTTAGATTATCCAAAATCTTAATTAATTGATTTTTTCATTGTTGCCATGAGGGAAGTAAACATTGATGATGAATTCATTTTCTTTTTATTACAAATTAGGTCAGGTGTCAACTACTCTCAGGAAAACTCTTTGTGTGGTTGGGTTAAGCCATTGAAAATCAATAATCGCGAATAGGATACCATAGACAGAGGATATATTCAAGTTCTTTAGGTTTGATAAAAATGTAGTAAAGAATTAACAGAACTTTAGTGAGGATGAAAGGGTTTGTCATCTTACCCCATCCCTCACATACACTCAAATATATTAAAAGAAAAAGCCTTTATTATTTGATCAAAGTTGTTGTATGTATGACTAGGATGGGAAATTGATTTGTGAAACTAAATCGAATCCAATATAAAAATCGAAAAATTTGAACAAGTAATATCTTTAAAAATGAACTATTAAGAGGCTTAAACAATTCAATTTGATTTCAAGAAAATGAAACCTGAATGAATTTAATAATGAGGAAAATTCATATGCTAATATATGTTGCTCACTATGCACATCTTACTTTCTTTTTCCGATTTACAACGTGGTCTTATTAGTGGTTGTTGGTCATGAAACTTAGTGCTTTATATTGCTTTGGATTTGGTCAATTTGTTCCTCTATTCAATTGTTAAGTTTTGCTACATATATAAGTGATTGCTACAATTCTATCATTTTGCTTCCATCTTTACTTGATCGGATTTGTGTATCCAACGAGTTAACTGGTTGATAGAACTTGAATCCAACAAATTATATTAATGAATGTTCTTTATTTTATCTTAATAAATTGAACTTGCAAGAGACCACGATTAGTGGTGTCTTAAGTTGTATGGACAATGAGAAAAAATTATTTTTTTTGTTAGTGGATTAGAGGTGAGGTGTTGTACATGTTAGGCTTATGAATAATAATCATATGTATGCGTTCACTTTTAGTGTTGAATTCGCTTATCATATGGATATGCAATCGCTCTATATAGTAGTTAATTCATTGTATGTTTCATGATCCAAGTCAAAGTTGTGCTCGTTCGATAACCTTCTAACTCTCTTCCTCACTCACAACAAGTTGAATGTTATTATTCAATGATTTTTTTTTTTTTTGAAATTTTACCTGTTTTCTCCAAGAGTTTTTATTATATGAGTCCTGATGGTTAGGCGTAACTTTCCTATTTATGCATTGTTCACTCAATATATGTTCATTCACCCATTTTACCAATGAATGGTAACTAAGTATTGTTGGAAATCATCACGGACTACAAAAATGGTTAATAATATAATAGATGTCGAAAGACATATGAGATATTAACAGCCGCTTCACTCCCCATTTAGCGAGAAAGACCAACTAGATAACAAGAAAATATAATTTTTTTGTTCCCAGTTTGTTTGGACCTACCAAGGTTCTAATAAAGCATGATGATTGTGTCTTACACTTATGTCATGTAAATGTAGAATAAGCTTTTTATCAATTTTTAATTTGTTTTATGTTGTTTGACATCTATTGTGTACTTCATTGTTTTTCTTTCCTTTCGTTAGTTTTAAGGAAAGGAGACCAATAAAATGAACTATGATTAGGGGTCTACATGAATCGGGGTGAGTTAGTTTTGAACCCTCTCAACTAGGGCTGGGCATGCGGGCGGATCATCCGCGGGTTTGGGCCGACCCACCCGCATTTGACCTAAATTTCGTTAAGTGGGTGGATCTATGGGTGGGTGACGGGTTGCGCTGGGAGCCATCCGCCGGGTGGTGGGTGGGTTGTGGGTGGGTGCGCGGGTGACCCGCTCAACCCAACAGCGAAGAGATCAAAGTCGGCGGCGCTAGAGAGGGGAGAGTGGTGGCGTTAGACATAAACTAGGACTGCTCCTGGAGTTTGAACCTCAAATCCAACCTTCCAAATAGCGATCCTCTCTTCTTCCCTTTATTTTTTTTCTCTAATTCTTGTGCCTAGATCACCGCTCTTTCCTTTGTGGAATTTTTTTCTTAGTTCCTTGCACCTGATAATCATCTCAATCTGTAGAAAACTCTTTCATAATAGAATTTCTATCCAATTTAAGAACCAATTCGACATTTTTCGCCCTATTTCATCTTCTTGTTTCCCCCGATAACTCTCTTCACCTATTATCATGTCAATTTGACTCCTTTATATTATATACATTGTGATGTGGGTGAACCCACAAACCCACCCGAATCATCCACCATCCGCCCGACCCAACCCGAGACTAAATGTGGGTGGGTGGTGGGTTAAAAATTATCAATCCATTTAAGCGCGGGTGGGTGCATTTTATGGTCAAAATCCACCCGACCCACCCAATGCCCACCCCTACTCTCAACCATGCAACTCATATGCCTTAGGTCAAGTGATGCACTACCCAGATCGAATTATATGACACATAAATCCATGTGTTTCAGGTGATGCGCCGGTTGAATTGGATTGATACTAGACATGTCTATACATTAACTAAATAGGGCTGAACCTCGGTTCATTTTATGTTAATCAAACCAAATTGGTTGGTTATCCAAAACCGAATTGCTGTCATTTTAGCAATTGTAATTGTTGTTGTTGCGATTACTAGAGAACTGAATATTATGATTTTTGGTTATGTTGTGGTTAACTGCGTTCAACCAATTAATCTATTTGTCATTCTTTTTGGTTTAGGTTACCTAATGGGGTAGGCCATTTGGCTTTGGGGTAGTTTAATTTTGCGATTATATGGGAATTTTGTTTTGCAGTTTGGTGTGCAGTTACACCAAACACCAAAGATTATCTAAAACCAAATTTGCAACTATTCTATTCCTTCATTTTATGGTTCTTGATTAACTATTAATCGTAAAATTCGAATCAGACTTCGGTTAACTTGCATGACCACAACCAAATTTTCTACCCTATAACCAAATACTCCCTGCGGCGTAGCCGCGGGTATTGATTCTAGTAACCAATAATAGTCAAAACTATTCTTTATTCTCCACGTTTAAGGTATATGGTTAGACTGTAGTACAGTTCGAAAATATGATGAATATTCGATACTATAAGAAACACCATTTATCCATGTAAAAATAGGGCGCGGTTCATACGGGTGAACCACAATCCACCCACCTAAATACGGGTTGGAGATTTAACAATTCGCAATCCACCCACATCAATCACCCTCTGCATGCGGATCGAATAATTTGCGGGTAAATCGATATCAATTCGCGGATTAACCAACCACGTGCCCACCCCTAAGTTGCCCATCACCATCCTACTTCCCATCGTTTCACCACCATCACCAAAAAACAAGGAAGTGATTCTTCCTTGCAACAAGAAAAAACAAAAACTACATCACCATGACACTTCTCTTAGATCGATCTCCTACAGGTTGAGAGCTGTTGGTGACACATGGGCAAGAATCTGTTCATCCACCTCAAACTTAGCCATGTCTTCCTCCTTCAAGTGCACCCATGCCTCTATCCCACCACCTTCCCTAGTGTCTACAAACACCACAATGTTGCCAAAGTTGGACCCAGCCAACCCGACCCACGCCGGCTTCCCCCACCCGAAATCCACTTCATACAGAGGCACTCTGCTCAAACTGGTGAACACAAACGGCACCCATTCCACCTCATCTCCCTTCGTTTCCTTCTCCCTCGTGGACCTAACTAACGACCCACGACCCTGCAGCTTCACTGTGTCGCCATCCACGGCCCTCACACTTTCCCTCATCTTCCTCAAAATCCCGTAACACCCATCTCGATTTTCCCCATCCGGCGTCGTTGCAGCCACCGTAAACAGGTTCCCAAAGCAATCCTCAGGGATGGGAGGATTCATCTTGGGCCTCAAATTCACTGGGTGAATCAATTTGAAACTCTTCTTCTTCTTCTCCTGTTCATGGTTTGTCCAGTGCTCTCAACGTACCTGGTCCATATGAAAGCCGACAACGCCTCGATTCTGGTCGGCTTCAGAGACTCCTCTGTATACCATGTCTTGAGCTCTGCTATGTTGGAGGAACCGAACACGAATCTCTTGGATACGACGGCGCCAGAAGGAGCGAATCGAGCTATGGATCCATGGCCGAGAGGGATGTTATTCACTGGCGGGAAAATCGCGGCGAGATTGAGCAGAGTGGAATTGTTGTTGTCGTGCTGAAAAATATCCCCATCACGAGCGATTGAGGCCCAGGTTTTCAGGAATATGAAACTTGATTGCCCGTCTGCAACTTTGTGCGACATCTGAAATGACACGGCCATTCCTCCGCAATCGAAATACGTGGATTGGAAAGCTGCAAGCAAGTCGTTGGCATCTTGAGGCTCGAAAGCGAGGAGCTGGTTGAGATCACGTGGACTCGGATCCTGCAGGAACTCTGCCATCGTCGTGGTGTGGACATGATGAGCTTCCACGAAATGGACGCCCTCGTCGTTACAGTCGATGAACGTGTTGTCCCTGACGCGGCCTGCCAGGGTGTGGAAATGGGTCAGAGTTTGGGCCAGGGATTGCTTGAGAAGGTTGCATCTTTGGGTGTTGGTGGTTTTGGGGTCTGGTGATGTGAAGAAGAGGATCAGGGGCATGAAGAGTGACGAAGAGAGTTGGTCGATGGAGGAGAGCTTGTGGTGGCGGAGATGGTCTGGTGTTGGTGAAGATGGCTTGATTAGCTCCATGGACGCAACTTTTATTGGTACTCGACTGATTCGATCCATCGTCTGGTGATTTGAGAGGTGACTATTTCGAGGATGGTAGGGAAAGGGAAGAATGAAAAGTAAAATTGGCCTCGGGTTGTGATGGCAGGGGATTTGATCGAGGCTACTTTATAAGGTTCTTGCCGGGCAAATGATGGCCGGCCGGCGTCGTCTGAAATCCGAATTCTTATCTAGTTGTCCTAATCAACACCACGACGCAGTCCAACAGACGGAGAACGACAACTAGCATCTCCATTGTTTTTTATTTTTATTTTTTTATGAATGACTAGCAAAAGCCCACTTGTTATGGTTTTGTGTATCAAAAAAATAAATATTTTAAATAATAATAGTTTTAATGTTGACCCAAAAGTTAAAGTAATCTTATTTCATTCTTAATCATTTTTTTCATAGGTTTGTTATTTACAATAGCATATGGTCGATGAACTTGCTTAAGGTAGAAGGGTCGTCGGATAGATTATTTATGTTTAAACTTCTTTCATGAGGCTAATGTTTCAATTTGTATGGCTAGTAGTTGATCCTGCTATAACTTTTGCCGAATGAAGCAGCTTCTCTGGTTCTTTTCAAATTAGGCTGGATACTCATGGATTTGGGTTCAATTGTCTTTCTCAAACAAAAGGAAAAAGCAAAATGAAAAACACTAAAGCTAAAAATCGCTACCGACTCAAAACTCGTCAATGCCAATTACAAAAACAGATAAAACACGCTCCCGATGTAAACCTGTAAAATCGGGTACAAATCGCTTTGGTCGGGTAGAATTAGGTTTTATGCCCATGCGTTTGGACTCAATTGTCATTCTCAACCAAAAGGAAAAGAATAAAAATAAAATACTAAAGCGGATAAAACTCGCTCAAGACCCCAACTGTAACACCCCACCCATAATCTCTATGGTTGAACTCGTGGTTCAACCGCGCAGCCAAATCATCGGTGTTACTGGTTGAACTCAATCATCATATCCGATAATTAAACACAAACATAAACCGTTATCATACAAACTCATTATTCGAATCCCAACCCACTTATTGAATTTTTACAAAATGTGGGTTTATTCTTCAAACACTCAAAGCAAAAGTCCTAGGTGACCATGACAGAACATTGTTCCAAACTACCTCATGATGGTAGTACAGAAGGATAGGGCAGCCTCAGTAGTCCGATCCTAGTTGCACCTGCGAGCCTGAAAACAGACGTGGGTCAGCAACTAAGCTGTGTGTGTGGATCTTTCCCACGACCTAATTTTGGGACCACAATCAGCTAATCAAACAATCATAATTTAGTACTCAAGATGCATCTTAAATCATCATATAGAATCCACCAACTCATCATCACCAAATCAATTTATCCCAAATAAGATAATCACATAATTTCACGAACACATAATCAATGCATGATATGAAAATTCCCATTAATTATCAATGGCGCCAAGGTCGCCATACACTTACCCTCGCTCGAGCAAATCATCATCCGTGGTGCTCATGCAACCACCATACGCGCATATGCGAGCTAGATCTACCCAAACCCATAATCATCTGGGGGTGAAAGTGCAGGCCCTTTCTACGTCTATGTGAATTAATATGATCACGAATCAAACAATTCCATTTCTCTCATCCATCACAAACGATCCGGAATCAATGCAGTCCCACTGATTAACCGGTCCATGCATAATCGATCCAGAATCAGTGCAGTCCCACTGATTAACTGGTCCATGCATATCTCACGTCAAACATTTCATCAAACCAATTCAGGAATCAATGCATTCCCATTGAGTTCCCAATCCAAATGGATCTCATGTTTCTCATCTCATCAACTCATCATCATCTCAATCAATCCAGGAATCAATGTCATCCCACTGATTCCTAATCCATACTTATCTCATGTCGGTTTTCAACTCGACATTCTCGAAATCCAATCCATCATACAATCTCGAATCACATAAATTATCATCATCCTTCAGTAACAATACTCAATAGTTCTAGATCATAATTCCTCATCCAAAATTCATCACACAACTTCATATAATAACCTCGGTTCAAAATAATCATGAATAACCGGTATGCGGTGAAAATACTTTTAATTCATTTTCCTTCGTTAAAATCCTCATAAAATCCATATAAATTATTTTATTGACACAAAAAACCATTTAATCCAGTTCTGATCATAAACAACCATTTAGAGAATAAAATCTCAAAATTTTCGTATTAACCATTATTTTACGATAATTTAAATTCTAACCAACCGGTAACTCCGAAAATCTCCAAAAAAATACAAGAACCTTCATTTATCATCCTACAACAGGTCTGTCCAGTTTTTATATTTTTTTCAACAGCTCAAAACCATGAAAATAATATTACACGCGGTATTTATCGCAAATCTCGTATTAAGCTCATTTTTACCTTTTTAAAGATAAAAACTCCACCAACGGTCTAATTTACCCTTTACAGACCACAACCCATTTAATAATCCATACTGACCATTTTAAAGTGATCCAAATCTTAAAGATAAATAAAACACGTTTTTACCGAGCTTTTCGTAAAATTCACCGTTATGCAATTTTTAATCCGCAAACCATTTTCAAGTGAAACCTTCTGCTCAATCTGCTCCAACACCATTATAGACAAACAAAAATCTCTTAGATCAGTTTTATACTCAATAAACCCAACTATTCATTTTTACGGGGAAACTCGTCAAATACCGATATTTACACCGTAAAATCCATAACAATCAAGAATAATCACCAAATCATCATATCAACAAATAATTCATCACCCACAGTAATCCATCCATCTAAATATGCAAATCAAGCATAAATAATTGATGCAATAATTAAGGTCCTCTTAATCCCCACACACCTTAATTTAGCCGATTCCAAGTCGGGAATTAAGTTCTAAAATTCCAGAGATTGGCTCCTAAAATTTCTCCTTGTTTCTACGGTCCTGTAGGCGAAAACGGTTCGTCGTTTGGACGTCAAACGAAGAAACTGCGAGCTGATCATCGTTAGTACGAAATTAGGGATTAATTCTTAATTTTCTGCCGTCCAAAATCTGCAGAAAACTGGAAATTCCCTTACCTCACGTACCAACTTCCCGGCCTTGTTTCTCCCTCGTCTGAGCTCGGAATTCAATTCCGTAAACTCTGTGATGCTCGTGGTGACTTGTTCTTTGTAACGGTATCAAGCTTCGAAGCTGATGCTGCCTGTAGTAGCACTGGTTTGGCTGACGAAAAGGTTACGGCAAATGTTTCGGTAAAGGATATTTGGTGAGTTGGTTTGGCGATTTTGGCTTGTAAACAGGTTTGTATAGGTTCTAAATCTTTTCTGGGAATACAGAGACTATGCTAGGCTTTGGTTTCATATTATTTCTTTTCTTTTCTCCTCTTGGTGTTTGTACGAAGGCAAAAATGGAGAGCTAGCTTACCGGTATTATAGAGCTCTTTGATTCATGCTCTTACCTCTTCATTCACTTTCCAGCAGATGGAGTAAAGGCCTGGGGCGGCCTTCTAAGGAGCAGTAGCTTTGAAAAGAAGAGACTCAAGTTCCAAAGCCGGCTCCATAAACAAGCAAACTGCTGGTGCCATGCCGACGTCATTAGCTCATTAATGACTCGGCTCCTTTTGTATCACTGAAACCAGCACAGTCTAACTGGTTAAGTTGTTGAACCCTTCCCCACTGAACAATAGGTCAGAGGTTCGATTCCTACAGCCAACAATAAATTTTTGTTGCACCTTTTTGATGTTTGGAGAGTTTTTAAGTGGTTTCGTTGATCCTACCTCGTATAGGATAACTTCTCGATTTTTTTTTCTAGCCTCAAAACGTGCAATATATGTCCGCTACTTGAAAAAAATTATCCGATGTTCGGGATGTTACACCAACAAAAAGGAAAAAAGTGAAAGAAAAAAACACTAAAGCGAACGAAACTCATCCCCAATATAAAACTCGCGGACATTGAGTAGATATGGTATGAATTTTTGGTTGCGACATTGGGTTCAATTGTGATCATGCTCAACAAAAATGAAAAAAAGAAGGAAAAAAATACTAAAGAGGATGAAACTCGGTCTCGATACAAAACTCGTGGTAGCTTCCTTGGGAAACGATGGTGGGGAACTATTTAGGATTCCTACAGCCAACAATAAATTTTTGTTGCACCTTTTTGATGTTTGGAGAGTTTTTAAGTGGTTTCGTTGATCCTACCTCGTATAGGATAACTTCTCGATTTTTTTTTCCAGCCTCAAAACGTGCAATATATGTCCGCTACTTGAAAAAAATTATCCGATGTTCGGGATGTTACACCAACAAAAAGGAAAAAAGTGAAAGAAAAAAACACTAAAGCGAACGAAACTCATCCCCAATATAAAACTCGCGGACATTGAGTAGATATGGTATGAATTTTTGGTTGCGACATTGGGTTCAATTGTGATCATGCTCAACAAAAATGAAAAAAAGAAGGAAAAAAATACTAAAGAGGATGAAACTCGGTCTCGATACAAAACTCGTGGTAGCTTCCTTGGGAAACGATGGTGGGGAACTATTTAGGATTCCTACAGCCAACAATAAATTTTTGTTGCACCTTTTTGATGTTTGGAGAGTTTTTAAGTGGTTTCGTTGATCCTACCTCGTATAGGATAACTTCTCGATTTTTTTTTCCAGCCTCAAAACGTGCAATATATGTCCGCTACTTGAAAAAAATTATCCGATGTTCGGGATGTTACACCAACAAAAAGGAAAAAAGTGAAAGAAAAAAACACTAAAGCGAACGAAACTCATCCCCAATATAAAACTCGCGGACATTGAGTAGATATGGTATGAATTTTTGGTTGCGACATTGGGTTCAATTGTGATCATGCTCAACAAAAATGAAAAAAAGAAGGAAAAAAATACTAAAGAGGATGAAACTCGGTCTCGATACAAAACTCGTGGTAGCTTCCTTGGGAAACGATGGTGGGGAACTATTTAGGATTCCTACAGCCAACAA